ACAGAAGTTTTGGGATTCTGTTCTGTGGAGCAATAAAACAAAACTGGACTTTTCGGCCCAATGGACCAGCAGTATGTCTGGAGTAAGAACACTCTGCCTAGAGTTAAGCATGGTAGTGGCTCGGTGATGCTCTGGGGCTGTTTTGCATCTTCTGGTACTGAAAACCTGAAGCGTATGGAAGACAAGATGAATTAATTGAAGAAGTCCTGGAAATTTCTACATTGGTCATCACAGTCATCTGACTTGAAAATCTCTGGTAGGATATGAAGAAGGCTATTTCAGAATGCAAACCCAAGAATATTACTGAACTGGAGGCCATTGCTCATGAGCAATGGGCGAAGATTCCCCTGGAACGCTGTCAGTAGCAGGTGTCTGGCTATGCATCTCGTTTGCAGCAGGTCATAACAGCAAAAGGATGCTCTACTAAGTACTAAAGATGCTTGCCATGAATGGGTTGAATAATTTTGAGATTGGAAAAGTCATTATAGGCATAGGCATTTTCAGATTAATTTGGGGAAACATCCATTGAGTCATCTGTTGTGTTGAGCTATATCAATTGCTTTTTTTTTATTTTATTTTTTTATTCATTGCAATCAGCTAAAAGTCTGTAAATTTTGACAATAAACCTGATTTTCAATGGGGATTGATTGATTTATATACAACTGTATATATTGCCAAAAATAATAATTAAATAATAAAATCAAACACTCCACAAAAACAGCCTGGCTCCATAATGGACCCACAGCTACTAGTCTGATGCAGACTGTACAACTGTATTGCTCTCCACCTCCCTTCAAAACCCAGAGGGGGAGGCTCCGCATATACAGCATATAAGAAGCACAGGAGTTGCCCCCTAGGGCACATGATCGGCACCAGAGTAGTCCTCCGTCTGAGCATGTAGCAATCTCTGGGCCCCGGTCTTCAGGTAAGTAATAGCGTAGCAAGAGAAATAAGAAAGGCTCCATGCAGAAAAGGGCTGCCACAAACATTAACCTTAACTGTAAACTTTATCCATAACCTGGAGGCCAGGATAATTCCACTGGCTTGCGAGTGGGGGGGTGGGGGAGCCAAAGTAGAACAGAGCAGAAACCCCCATGGATCTTCATGCTAGTGTGCCCTGTGGTTGGAGGGAACATCTCTCAGTCTAGGAAATGTGCCATAGACCAGCCGTATGTATCCAGCTCCCCTTCAAAGCCTTTCAAAGTGTGCCATGCTTATGGTGAAGAGTAGGCCGGGTTGCTAGCATCTTTTTAACCTTGATACTATCTGCCTCAATTGGGTATCAGAGTAGTGCTGGGGTATTCCCCCAATCAATTATGGCAAAAACAAAAACAGGTATATAGGCTATGGTGAGCGATATTTTAGCCTTTTACAGTGGCTCAAGATTGAAGCTGTGTAATATGTCCTCCTGTCCAGTTGACAGTCCGGCCCCACCCCCTTTCATAATATGTTGTACACCTTGTAATTTGAGATCTGTAACTGCCAAAATTAGAGTGAAATGCAAAACATTCTTTAAATCAGGAAAAATAAGTGAATTGTGAACCCTTTTTCTTTTCCTGCACTAATTATGTACACTTAATTATATGCAAAAATAAAAATACATTATTTACATACATACACATACGTGTCATATATAAATTTTTGTTTTTACTGATAGATAGTACTTTTGATGCACTATATGTATGTATCTATCTATTCATTAGGGAAACAAGTTATGATATATGTGAGAGAACTAAATAAGTAAAATTGCTCTTAAGAACCCTGCAAGAAAAAAATAGGATGTGTTTTGGGTGGGGAGGGGTGCTTTCTCCACCCTCTGTGCAGGTGTGAAGATAAGAAGTTCAAACCAATGTTTTTTATGCTTATTTTTTCTAATGATTGCTTTTTTATTTTTAAGGAGCTTATACGTCTAATAGGCTTACTTAATTTTTTTCAAGCATTCCACTTGATGCATCTGCATCATTGATCCAAAGGCTCTATTAATAAATAGTCACCTATAATGATTCTTAAGAAATTTCCATACATTTTTATGTAAACTGAATAAACGTGTAGGTACGTACTGAATTTTAATACACCCATTTTTATTGAATACAGCATTGATCCTAGCATAGGATTGTCATTTGCAATTTAAAATAAGTCAAATTAATTCTACAGAAAACAAAAAAAAAAAAAAAAATGAAGAATCTAGCACGCTACACTACCAAATGGAGGTGTTGGCATCGGGTCAATTCTTTACAAACTGTCCTACAAACCAATAAATATGGAAATTGCATAATTAATACCACACTCTCTCCTTCTGGAAAAATGATAAGTTTGAATCAGATCACAAAAATGCCTCAGGACATACAATAAAATACAATTGCCTGCTTATTAATGGATGCATTTTATTCTGAATCTGGAGACATTTTATGATCTGGGTGGTTCATTCTCAGTTATTCTTATAAGGTTTTGTAGTTTTTAAATATTTCCTCGGTCTATTGTTACTAGAAGAGGTAATTATACCTTTTTCAGCATTTATGGTCATCTCATAATTAACTGTTGTAACGTGCAACATGTTAGACCTACACAAAAATCTATTTAATAACAGCAGCCATTCACACTAACCTGCATAGCATAGCACTGATGGCTACGCTCCATCTTTGGTGGACTATATTTTCCATGATGCTTTTTATTATTAATTATTATTAGCATTATATCTGTTTTTTTGTGCAAACTAGTTAGGTGGATTATTACAGGTATCCATTTTGCGTTCAAAATTCACTTTCTACCTAAAGTACATTTTGTACTTTACCCCAAGCACCCTAAACACTGCAGAATGTTGTCATGGTTATGACACTAGGAGTGCTGTGGCGCACACCTAAACGTACGTAGTCAAAACATTGGCTGGCAAATTTACAACTTACATGGGATCCGCCAGGAGCAGGTTGGTTTCTCTGTTGAGAGTTGGAAGCTCCTGACAAAATCTTTTGATAGCTCTCCTGAGCTTATCCCTGTTTTGCTGGGCCACGTTATTGGCGAAAAGAACATCTCATGAAGGCAGTGAGTGATGCCCAGTGGACTCCAGGTAAGTCGCCAAATTACGCTGTAGTTGTTATGGTGCCTGGAGTGCTTCTATAGTAGAAATTTTCCTAATTCACTATAAACTTACGCAAAACTAGAACCATTTGCACATTTTTAATCTTCACAAATATATGACAGTTGCATATATCATATACAAAATAACATTTGGCATAACATTAGTGGAAAATTATGATTGCAAATCTTTGATTGACTGAATAAATAATTTCATCCAACCCTTGTGCATTATATATTCCCATACAATTATAAATAACAAAAAGATTTGTTCCTCCAGTGGAAATGTGTTTCCTCTACTGTGTTCATTTAAACTACCAGTGCAGAGAACCAAAATCATGCCCTTAAATAGACCTTGAGGGAAATGTACAACTGCTATACTGACCACTGTACAATTGCAAGACTATGTAATAAACGAGACTTAACTGAGAGTTGATTAATAGAACTGCAGGTACATGGAGTACTGCCAGAGTTGGAATCACTCAGTTTCCAAGATTTAATAGCTGCTTGCTGGGGTCTGAATACTCCCTCATGTCATTGTTAAATGTATGGAAGGAACTCGCGTTATAGAAAATATATTTCACATATTTGGGGAATGATAACATGCATGATTATGGAGCATGCAGTAACCTTATAGAAAAATTCCAATATTTCATTTAAAAAAAAAAAAATTTTTTTACTTCAATGATTTCAAGTTAAAAACATGTGTTATTGAGAAAATAGGGATCTTAGTGAGAAGAGGGATTTGCTGTTAATAGTTCCAGGAAGCAAACCAACAGCATGTGGAGCTGATGTTAAATAGGCTACCTTAAATAAGAATCAGTAGAATGACCACAAAAGCTTAAAAATGTGACATATGAGAATAAAGATCAATACACTTGATCACTTGAAAAATGTTCCCTAGTGTCTATTGCAGGGTAACCCATTAGGTGAAGATAATTAGCCAATAAAAATTTATATATATATATATATATATATACACACATATATACACACACACACACACACAAAAATATATATATATATATATATATATAAATACACACACACACACACACACACACATATACACATATACACCCACACACACACACACACTATGATAAAGTGTTCTGGAATCTATGACAAAAATAAAATTAGAATAAAGTTGCCCATTGCAGTGAACAGATCCAGACACTTTTGATGCTTTTATTCACTTAGAACACCAATTTTGTAATTTTATTTATTTATTTGTTTTAAACCACTCCTTGCAGAGAAGGCAGTGTTGATCAGCATATGGGGGAAAAAAAAATTGACATTGTATGTAAGAACTAGACATTCCAATTCCAGAACACACAGAGACACTGGTCTAGAAGAGAAATCTGTGCATAATGGAAATTCATGTATAGATCGGTATTAAGCCGAGGAAACTCTTATGGTCCAGAAACACAGCTCTTTTCAGTCTGTACATTTTATCTCAAGAGTTGCACATCACACTTACTTCGAAGTACAGGTGACAACACTCCAGTCCACCATGTACCACTGCCAAATTATTCCCCCACCCCAGGAACACTGTGCAGGACCACAATCTCCATCCACACAGCCAGACTGTTAGCCAACACTGATTATCAAAACATCACAACATAATAAAAAGATCTTAACAGACCACCATAGCATAATAATTATCTGCTGCAATTTTCTGCAACGTAAATGCCAAGACGCCCTGTAATCACACAGATATCATTTGCAGAAAGATAATGACTGTGGGGGAAAAAAATGCAAAAAAAAAAAAAAGAGCACAGATTCTGCAGACTACACACCCAATTAGAGGAACCTTCAGAGAACGGATGGTACATTGTATCCTCCAAATCTGTTTAGTTATCAATGGACACAAACTAGTCAGGAAGACAATGCTGTAAGGACTCTCATCCCCCCATCCATAGTCTCACCTGCTCTCCTCTTTGTGCACAGGGTCAGAAGATGGTACAGGTAAGGGCTGCTTGCAGATCTCTTCTCTGGGGAACCCTCTAAAGACATCCAGTCCAGCTCAGAACGTTCTAAAATTCGAATTAGTCTAACCCTCTGCAGGTATGTGTGTCCTGTGCCTTGTACTGGGTTCTGCAAGGCACTCTGGAGAGATTTGGGCAATGTGTTCAGTCTAAGCAAGCCTTCAATAAATTATCCCCAGTAAACCTTTATATCTGTCAACCACAAACCCCCCCGTAGCTTTGGGGGTCCTTGAATCAGCAGAACCTGCAGCCCCCAAACCTTGCCTGCAATGCTCCAAGTCCCAGCCGCTCTGTGCAGCTGGCTCTCTCTCTCTCTCGCTCTCTCTCTCTCTGGGCTGCTGAACTACGATCCACATCGCATTACGTCATCCTGTACAACTGCTCTCCAGCACACAAGCGCTGCTTTGGCTAAAAAAGAATCTGTGGTTTACAATGACGTAATCGCGCAGGAACCACGTGGAAGTGATTTAAAGGGCTGCGTGGGAGCTACATGTGGAAGCAGAGGTGATTGCAGAAGGTGCTTTGGCCCATGGAACGCATGGAATTAGAAGAGAAAGCATTTACAGGTGTAGGAATGGCAGGTTAGCCTTTACAAAAAGGACTCCAGGATCATGACATCTGAACTCATTATCCAGAAAACGTACTTTTACCTTTAAGTTAAAAAGGAGGCCATTTTACCTATGCTTTTGGTTAAATAATAACAATAAGAACAGAATTTCTGGCAAATATATACATAATAATTTAGCAGTAGATCAATATAAAGATATGGTTCATCCATAACCTGTCAATAATTTTTAGTAATAGAGGAGTGTGCTAAATCGCACCTATGAGATCAGTTGGGTGACAAGGAAGAACCCCGCTCTCAGTCGTAGCATTATAGTATGTTGTGGCTGTAGTTTTAAAGGGATACTGTAGTGCCAGGGTCAAAGCTCCGCCTCCTCCTCTGTCCCGCGACGAGCGAGGTCTAATGCGCAGCAAATACCGCATTCGCTTTAGACCTCCCCATAGGAAAGCACTGAATCAATGCTATCCTATGGGGGGAAATCTGACGCTGGAGGTCCTCATGCAGAGCGTGAGGACGTCCAGCGTCAGATAGTGGACCAAAAAGTCTGTTACGATTCTAGAAGCACCCCCAGTAGCTGTCTGGGAGACAGCCACTGAGGGCAGACTTAGTGCTGCAATGTAAACATTGCATTTCTCTGGAACTGCAATGTTTTTCATTGCAGCACTAGGTGCAAAAGGAACACAGCACCCAGACAACTTCAATGAGCTGAAGTGGTCTGAGTGCCTACAGTGTCCCTTTAATTTTTACGCTAGTGAGTGTGTCTGGAGGAGTATTAGGAAGGAGTTATATATGACTCTTTTCTGACTTGGGTATTCTGGTCTGTGGCGGCCACCCCCGAGAGAAGAGGGGTTTCCGCCACCAGAGATGTCCTTTTCCCCTAGTAGAAGTAATTCTGTAATATTTCTGAGCGGTAATAAAGCAGGTATAGCTGTTCCCTACATTCATGAGACGAGGCTCTGTGTTGAGTGTAAAGTTGAACTGGTTTAATGGCAGCCACAACTGGCCTTATATGCAAGTCCCCATGCAAGGGGTTTCCCATGACATATTCCAGGGGCATTCCCCACTGGACCCGAGAGGGGACTGTGACAAAGTACACACTGTAATTACATTGGCTCTCAGGTCCAGGAGACTCCCACACAAAAACAGGATAATCCCTCCCCTGTGCCTGAGAGATAATTGACTCAGGAACTGTACTAAACTCAATTATCCCCAGGCACAGAAAACATACATTTTCACAATACAATACCTACAAAACACATGGAAACCCCACAAAAGTTACATCCCCCGATAGCCCTGATCTGGGTGACCAACATATCCAGAAATCACCCAGATCGGTTCAGGGGTTCAGGATTTCCATGTAAGTCATAAGTTGACCGACCGCACACAAGGCTCCTGCCGAAAAGAGTGCCATGAAATCAGGCTCTGCGGTTGGTCTCTTTCGGGGTACAAAACACAGTAAAATCAATGACAAAATTGTTCATGCGTACGCTTGTCTTGTTCCCCGCATTGTGGAGTTTGGTCCTACCGAACGCCGTTCATTCTAAACCATTTTTCCGAACGTAAATGAAGGTGGAAGTCCAAGCGGTGTTTGCGCCACCGAGTGCCCAATTATAGTTCCATACTTGACGACCCTTGCCGTATGCGTTCGTGGCTAAAGATGGCTGCCGCCACGTGTTCGTCACTACGAACGACGGCCACCCAGCCGCCCACTTAGAACGTTGCTGTTAAGGTGTTGATGGGGTCAAAAGAGTCAACAAGCAGCACACGACTCTCCCAGGTGGTCCAACTGTTTGGGAGTCAGTTCGGCATATGAACAGTATAAGTCTAATCCGTTCGGTAGATCCCATACACCAAACAAGACAAGGGGAAAGGCACAAACAAAGCCTTTCCACAGTACTGAACCAAGGTGTAATACATGGGCCACAGTCCTGAGGTAAGAGGTTGGCCAGCAGGCCTCTCCAAGAAATCGTGACGAGGTTCAGTTTGTCACATGGTCATAATGTCAGGTGTATGTATCATGGGAAATTGCACCCTTCTGTGTAGCCAAAAATCTTTGCACCCTCCCTGAGTGTAGCACACATGGGCCCTGCATGATAATGGTACTTTTTCAGCAGGAAATTATGTATTTACCTACTATCTCCTGAATAAATAAAATATATCCTCATGAGACCCAGCCCATTAACCTTTGTCCTCTTTACTGGACATTTCGTTCACATTCATCTCCTTTTATTTTTTTGAGCTACTCTATCAATCAATGCTGTATGGTAAAGAGGACATCCTGGGCTTTCCACTGATATGTCATGTAATAGGCTGGGATGCTGGGAACTTCCTCTTCCTTTTCATAAAAAATAGATGGCCTTGGTTCCCATGAGAATATAACTTGTCACGATATATACTATAATAAATAATGCAAAAGGAGATATAATTGTTTTACGTGACCCTGTCATATGAAGTTCTGTTAAACACTGAGACACTTCAAACACTAGAAAAGAGGTATATTAGGATAGAAAGGAGAGATGGAGGGCTCGGACCCAAAATAGGGACTGTATCTCAAAATAGTGACACTTGGGAGTTATGCATTTGCTTCTTGTCCAGGCTGACACACAGCAATCAGGTATGTGATGACTTTGGTCGACAGCAATGTTCTCTATGAAGTAAATCTATTTGCATAACTACAGTAGGATTGGGGTGGGGGTGAGGGGAGAGGGGGGACATATTATAGGTACAGGGGACATTTAGGGTGTTTAGAAATCAGCCAATGCTTGATGAATATTTATTTGCCAGGTCACTAACATAGGCTGGTCATTACCTGAATGTATAGTTACCTGTGCAGTTTGCACCATGATCACATGCATCACTAGACACATTAGCTGCAGTTATCAGTAAGTGGTAAGATGTGTTTCCTGACTAAGTGTATGTTTAGAGAAGCTTTAGCAATTTGTTCTGAGCTTTCTGCTTTTCTACCTCTGCCATTCTATTCCAATCAAATTGTGCCATAAGCAGCACTTGATTGCAGGGCAAAGTTTCACTCAGTTCTGGAGGAAAAAAGCTCATCATATGACTGTCAAAAAAAAAGGCCTTTATATTTCATCCTTTATAAAATGATTTGAGAAATGAAAAGCTTTAAACGGTATACAGTGTCCTTTCTATCACAATATTTAACACAGGAGCTGAAATGTTAGTATAAAAGGGAAAATGCACTATTTCTCACACAGGAAGTGGGACAAAAACAATAAACAAAAATAATCATATATAATCATATATAATCATATATATCTTGCTTACAGGCATTACTAGCAGTGCAGCTTACTGAAAATGGCAGCAGAATATAAAAAGGATGTCTGCATTTATGCGTTCTAGCCACATACATTAAGTACAGTAAAATCATATATTTCTAATTTAAAGGTATTTAAAGCGGCTGTAACTTTTGAGGTCTTTGCATATTTGGTAAAGAACCCCAGATGGTGACTGCTCTGCTTACTGTGCGGAAGCCATGGTGCCAAGGAAGGTAGGGTTTACTTACCTGAACCCGTCCCTCTTGATCTTCTTCTGCGAGGTCCTCTTCATCTGCCTGGGGCTGACGTCAGAGCTGTACTCTTGCACATGCATTACAGTACAACATTAATGTCTATGGAGGATTCCTCGAGACTGCAGAACCCTCCATAGAAGGAGCCTGTTTCCCCTCAGTAGTCACTAGTTCTTAACAAAGCTTAAAAAAAGTTAGTTCCACCCTTTGTCATGTGTAGGCAACATAGAAATGACATCTTTTGAGTGGGTTTGAATTTCAGTGAAATTCTAACACAGTCTTTTGAGCATTTCATAAAAATGTTATCTTTTTAGGGGTTAGAGGCAGTAGTGGGGGGTTTAGGAGATGAAGCGGCGGGGAGGTACAAGCTGACGTGGGGTTTAGAAGATGTAGTGTTAAGATAAGGGGCAGTAATAGGAAGTTAGGGGCAGTAGTGGGGGTTAGAAGCTGTAGCTGAGATTAGGAGCAGTAGGGGGAGTTATGGCTAGTAGTTATTTGTTAGAGGCAATAGTGGGCGGTAAGAGGCAGTAGTGGAGTGTTAAGTGGTGTATTGGGGGTTAAAGGCTGAAGTGTGGGTTAGGTGCTGTAATGGGGGTTTAGAATCTGAAGGGGGAGTTAGGTGGTGTAGTGGGATAGATAAGGGGCTTTAATACAAAAATAAAAAATCAGTTTCTTCCCCCACCTACCTAAGGCTTAACCTTGGCAGGGAGGGGGTACAAGCTGATGTGGGCTTTAGAAGATGTAGTGTAAAGAGGGGCAGTAGTAGGAAGTTAGGGGCAGTAGTGGGGGGTTAGAATCTGTAGCGGGGATTAGGAGCATTAGGGGGAGTTATGGCTAGTAGTAATGGGTTAGAGGCAATAGTGGGCAGTAAGAGGCAGTAGTGAAGTGTTAAGTGGTGTATTAGATGCTGAAGTGTGGGTTAGGTGCTGTAATGGGGGGGGGGGAGATCCTGATCCCTGGTGATCCAGTGGGAAATGCAGCTTGTCTGGACCCTCGGTAGGAGCAGACATCTCCTTTCAGCTGGCGCCGG